ATGTTTGTCTTTCCATAACTAGATGCTTGAATCTAACCACAATATCAAAATCAGTGTGACACTTGATTGCACTTGTGTCTTGCATTCTTCCAGCATTTTGTGACTGATTAACAGCTCTGTTCACTAGCTGAAGGATAAGTATGTTATGAAGTACTGTCATTTCAGTTCAGATGCAATTGGCATCGTCCTGTTTTCTTTTGGTATAAACACTGAACCTCAAGCTAACTAAGAAAACAGGTTTCTAACTCAGTCAGAAATTTAATTCATGTGTCTGGCACTAGTAACAAATATCCTGCTGGTGCATTTTATTTGTTACATCTTCAGCTACGTGTTTCTTAAGAGACATTTATATGGAGAAAGAAAAGAAAAATTTAAAAAAAAAAAAAAAAAGGCAGACCACTATCACTTTTCGTGGCGGGCTGGGAGTCTATAAGCAGTTGGGAGGTTTGTTTTTTGTTTTAAGGTATATTATGTTGAGGAAAGTGTGCTTAAGGAAGTTCAAAAAGGATAATGGGAAAGTGTCATTTGGTCTAAAATTGTAATTGGTAAAGAATAAGACAGAAGAAGGTTTCTTGCAAATTACTTGTATCTGGTTCAGTTAGAATATCTGACTATGAAGAACTACTGTGACATTTCTAGTACTTTCAGTATTTGAAGAAATTTGTCAGTTGCTTTTTGAATATTTCTTTATTAAAATAAGCTTTTTCAGCTTAATATTCTTTACAAATAGCATTGATAACTTAATAAGGAAATAAAAATTGAAGGTAAATAGTCCTGAAGATTCAGAATCCTCTATGCCAAAAATTATAGCACAATTTGATTATGTGATTGTGGAAATGTTGGGCTGCACTGAGGAAAAATAATTGACAGTGCCTATAATTGACTTAATTTGCTCTTATTTACATTTGCACTGATATGGGTCCAACACCTTATTTTAAGTACATGTAGAAAGTTATTGATATCAATAGAACTCTTGAACTGCTTAATGTCAAGCATGTGCTAAGTTGGGTTTTTTTAGTCAGTGGGTGAACGAGGTCTCTTAAAATTCAGCACACTGGCTTTTTGTGGGCTTAGTGGACAAGGATGAATTTCCCTGAGTAGTTGTACTGATTTGAACTGAACTACTTGCATGTTTAAGGCAAATATAATTTGGACACAAAGTTATTAATTGTTGTGGGGAATGGACTGAAAGAGGCAAGAAATTTTCATAGGGATGAAAAGATAAAGTTTATTTTTTAAAAAATGTTGTTATAACTACTTCCAGCAAACTGTCCACTAAAAACAATGACTAATGATACATTAAATATTTTTGCTTATTTTTTCAGTTACTTAATGAAGACACCTGTGTTTAATAGGAAACTAGATTGAGCTCAAAAACTATTCTAAATGTAATTTTATCTGTTGGATATTAGTTCGCTTTATCTGGTAAAAAAAACCCTCTTCTATTTTCAAAGATCACATCAGATAACAAGAGATAGATCTACTGTTTATGCTGTTAACACTGAAATAGTTTTCTTGAGGTGCAATATTTATTTGTCTGCTTTAAAAAGACACGTTTATTGTTTTTTCCCGCACAGCACAGATGTTTCTAGTAAAAGGAATTTTAAAAGGGCACTATTTTTGTGTATCATATTTAAATTTGTAATATTGTAAGATTTTGCACAAGTGTGCTGGTATTGTACTGTATGGTATCACATACTTGAGTTTTGAAATAAAACTATGGTTTCAAAGTCCTCAGTGTTGCCACCTTAAAGGTTTTTTGAATGCGCTCTGTCTACATATTAATGACTATGTTCTGTGAGATACATGCTGCCTTGTCTGTACTGCACAATGTAGTGCCATGCTACACATATCAAAGATCTTGTTCTTAGTCTTTCAGTTCTTCAGGAAAATGATGTAGAAGAAGCAAGCAAATGCCTGTTTCAATAGCGAAAGTGTAAGCAGGGTCATCCCTGTCATACCCTAGAAACAAGATGAGAGAGGAAACTGAAATATCCTGGAGAGAGTTTAACTTCTGCTTCAGAGGGAGGCTGCCTGTCACTGAGGAGGTTGAACACGGAAAGCCACAAGGGGAATCTGTAACAAAAGGAGACTGAGTGAAAGGTTAGGATTCTTTATTTGCTTTGTGTTCTTGTAGTCTTGGGAGGTCTGGGAAGCTGGGCTTTGTGGAGAGATGAACTGCCAGACCAGTGGGAAGGAGATGATGCTTAGTTTCCCCAAAGAACAGAAATATCACTTCTGAATCTCTGATGGTTTGTGTCGGGGAGAAAAAATCCGGGACAGTGATGACCTTGAAAGGAATTACTGCTACCAGGAAAACCCCTGATATTTCTATATTCCACATAAACTTTTTTTAACTTGTTTCCTTTCCTGTTGTTCAGGCTTCAAGGTTCCTTTAGAAATTATTGTAGAACATGGTTAAGTCTGTTCTCTCATATCAAAAGTTTTCTGTTTAGCAATCCTCATCAGCATTTTAAAACATGCTAGCATAAGATGCTGGGCATCTTCCTTACAGGTTACTATAAGCATTTAGGTCAAATGCTAATCAAATATTCAGTAGAACACTGCTCTTTCTCATGACACAAGTTATGATGAATACCCACAAACAGATTGAAGTTACGGTTCAGGTAAGTGGTCTTCCACACAGTTTTGGAACAGCTGAAATAAAAGGAAGAAACTGACAAAAAAAGTTTATTTCAGTCTTGCTTCATCATTCTAAAATTCTGTTCTCCCTTACCTAATCTGCACTTTGCTCTTAAAAAACCATGTGAAAGACTTTGTATTTTTGTTTGGTTTTACAAAGCTAAAAATCCTACTAAACATCAATAGCATGGACAGAGTTTGACTAAAGGAACTTTGCCACAGTGAGGATAGTAGGCACAAAGTGTTAAAACTTGGAAGGACAATTAGTATGCAATTTCAAGATGTCAGAAACCCAGGGTTTTTATTAGTTTTCATGGTAGGAAATATTAGCGGTTCAAGGTAAGCATGGAGATGTAAGATTTTGTTTCATGTTCTCAGTGGTTTACAGCCACAGTCTACTAGTCCATGAAAGATACAGAATAACAATTATTTTCTGCTCCTACATGGTAAATACAAGTGAATCCACTTAGAACTTGCTTCAGTGAGAGGAAGTCTGATTACAGTGTTTCAGGTTGCCATCACTTTGTAGAGGCAGGTTAAGTACAACACAATAAAGCAGTGAAAAGAAATTGGAGCAAAAAATTTGTCTGAAGATCTCAAAGAGCTTTACCAACGTTCAATTCCAAATCACAGCACAAACACAACCCAATTTTCACTTCTTTATTGCTAATGGAGACATCATTTTGTTAACCCACAGCGTTCTCACTCGGCCCTGTAGATACCCATAGTATCTACATGTAGTATACACATAACCATATTAGGTGCTGCTGTAGGACATTGGGCCTGTGCCCAGATAAAAGTTAATACTATCTTAATATATTGAGAGGGAACTTTCTACAATACAAAGGACAGTTTAAAGAGGTAGCTAGTGTTACACTTGTGTTTACAGGACCTTGAAAACAGCCTGGGGATGTAGGACGTCTAAAAGTTTACTGAACCATGAACTGAACACGATGTAACAAAATCATCCTGTCGCAAAAAAAGGCTCATAGCATTCTGAACTGTATAAGCAGTTCAGGTGAAGTAATTTGTTAGTCAGTACTTGGCATTGGCAAGGCCTCAGCTAGAGAGAAAGAGTGGGCAAGCTGGCGTTTCTTAGCTGAAAAAGAAGTGGGAGCAGAGGCATAACTCTTTAAATACATCAGATTGTTGCAAAATGTAAGGGAATAAACTCTGTCAATTTCCAACATGGAAAGAAGCGATAGGTTTACACCACGGTACAGGTAAATCAGTTTAGACTAGGGAATACCTTTTAACAGTAGAGGACAGTGAAGCACTGGAATAGAGCGTTTGAGGAAACATTAGGAATTTGTCACTGGAAATCTTTAACAGGTTAGACAAACATCTGTCAGGAATAACATAAATACAACTGATCTTGCTGACAGTAAAGGGAACTAGCTGATCTCTTGAACTCCATTCCTGCTCTGTTTATTGGAATCTCTGAAAAAAAATTGGTTTCTTTGCTAAGACTTCCTGAAGGTTTTCTGAGTTACAGTCACGAGGATCATCGGTGTTTTGAATCAGTCTCTTGGAATCACTGTTTGTTGGAACTTCACAAAAGGCAACAGTGAAAGGACTGACTCCCACTCCTGTCCTTACAGTATCAAGATGAATCCCATTTACAGTAGCATATCTCCAAATCTGTTCAAAACTAGCTATCATTATCTCTGTGTTATGGTAACTATTTTTGCATTGGAACTCTAAGGCAAAAGAAGGTAAAAGTAGTACACCAAGGCAAATAAGGTAGTGGGGAACGGATGACCTTCTAATTCAGAAAGAAAAATCCTGCCTGGCATGCTGTGATACAGTGGAGAATTCATTTTATTTACCAGATGAATAGACAACAAAAGTAATGAGCTGTTAATCAGTAAACTAAAATATAGCAGAAGAAAAATTTATTTCAAAGTGTTTACTGACTTAGCAGTCTAACAGTCTTATCTCCCTTCCTCAGCTGTGTTTTCTGAGTCAGCAGTAGTTAAATTTTCCAGCAAGCCCTACATGAAAGAAAGTGTAAAGGGTGATTAGGGATTTCCAGGCAGTGACCTCACCTTCCAGCAGGACAGTCAACACATTTGCCCTGACATTCTTTCTATGAAGCAGTGCAGTGACAGCTGAAGTTGCTTTCAAGAAGTCATCTCAAAGGTGGTCCTGACAATATCGAATACCTTAACTTTTCTTAGCACAGGGAACAAATCACCTTGAATTTCTTAATTTTCCAAGTTGGTGAAAATGGCAACTTATTTTGGAGTTACCTCAGCAGTGTTTTTCACCTGGGTTATGACATTCATGGCTCAAAATTACTTTATATCAGGTATGTAAAGTTCCACTTTTAAAAAGTCTCCTATTTGAACAGTAAAGTACTTGAAAAAAGTAGATACATTTGCAAACAGAAATGGGGGGAAGGGAGCATGCATATATGTGTTTTCAACATAGGAAACCACACAGGTTTGTGAATACAGTGCAATGAAAACTACTCTAGCATACAGGGGAACTTTCATTGTTAGTCTAATTTAGTTACTGTCTAAAAGCTGTAGCTTTATTGTTTAAATTCTACAGATCTTCTTGTTTTAAAGATTTGGTCTTGCATTTAGGATTAAGTTCAGATCTATTGAAATGTGATTTTATTTTGTATTATTTAAAATACCACAGCAAACAGTTTTGTACAATCCTCAGAGAGCAAAACATGCGTGAAACCAGTTCTTTGTGTCTATGATAAAATGCTATCTTTAATTCAAAGTGGTTTGTTCTGATTTGGCAATATCCTGACACTGTCTTGATTTGTAACATTGAAGGAAATGTGTGGCAGAGATTTCACAGTTCATCTCCAGGGCAGTGATGCTTGCCTCCAGTTAATACAGTGCAAAAGTTCTGATTTTGTATAAACTATCTGTTTGAAAAAAATTTAACATAGGAAATTGTCATCATCACCTTTATCACACAGTTCTTAGATAACCCTCCTCCTTCAAATATTATAGGAGCCTCTTTTTTTTTAATCAGGGTCATATAATACCCCTTTCTTCTATATGTTGATGAAATTTGGATGTCTTCTCCTTCAAATTCCTTAATCAACTTGATGCAATCTATTCTAATTGCAGTAGCTACTAGGATATCTACAGACCATCAGATGTTTCACTGTAGTTTGCAAGGAGTAAAAGCTTGTTCTACCTGTGTAAAAGAATATACACCATCGTTGCAGACAATTGATTTACTTATCTACTGAAAGTCTTCTGAAGGAAACCTGGACTGAGTGAATTAGGTGCTCAAGTCCTATTGAAATTCCACAGGATTGGAATACGTAACAGCAGTAGTCTCCTCCAGCAATCTCAGCCTCTGAATATTTTTCACTGGGGAAATGGAGCGCTTGAGTCTTAAGTCTATTCCTTCCAGCTGTTAAGACCCCCCTTATTTCCCCCTCCAGGCCTCCCTTGGCATACCTACTCATGCAACCTCTGCTTCTTGGTCCAAGAGCCCCAGTTAAACTCAGAGCTGATCACCAGCTGTGTCTTGAAGCTGTGTTGTAGCATGCCCTGTCCCCTCCTGTAGTGACTTACTGGGCTTCATGGATGGACTTGGGACTTAGGTTGTAGGTAGCCTTGCATCAAGGATGGACTTCAGGCATGTGTTATAGGTAGCACCATCTTTTGCTATTCCCAAATGGACTTTCTGGATGAATCCTGCATCTGACTCCTTGTCTTGCTCTTTCTGGAGCTACCAGTGAGACCTGCCACTGTCACCACTGTGGTCCTGTTCAGGTGCTGTGGGACTGTGCCCTGCTCAGTGAGGGCACTGTCCTGCCTGTGCTGTGGTCACCCTTGGCTCCTGGCTCCTCTTTCCTTGTGGAACAGTCTCATTCTTGCTGCTCCCTGACATCAGCAGCCAAAGGAAACTCTAATAAATCAGAGTGAAGGCTTGGCACAGGGCAAAGAAATAGAAACAACAGCTTCCCCAAAAAAGCAAGAAGAAAACTAATGCACAGTAAAGCAAATACCCATAGCTTACCAAAACTAAACAATCTTCTTCCTGCCCCATGATAACTTTGTCTTCCTGTGAGATTCTTCTGTGTAGGGTCTTTCTCAGTAAAAGTTTTTTTCACACAAGACCCGAATACTGAGGAGAAAGTCCCGTTATTAGTAGGTTAACTAAATAGAACAAACCTTAAAATACAGCTATGTGCAGCTTGTAGACCAAAAAGGATAATATGTTTCTAAAGGATTAGTCTGTCACCTCTATTAATTCAGTCATCTTTAACACTGAGTTCAGAGGTGATTTAAGAAGTGATGAAAAGACTTGAAGAGGCTACTGTTCTCTTTTTGAACTTCTTCCTCATACTGTAAAACCATCTGGAATTTAGATTGAAGCTGATAACTTTTCCAAAATATTTCTTTTCCTTCATCATTTTGTTTTAAAAGGCTTAGCACATTCTAAGGTACAACTTTGGTCCATGTCCTACAGTCATTTTTATCATCACTTAAGACTTAATTTTCTGATACTGAATTTTTTATTATGCTATGCATCTATCATGCAATTCTCGTGTAAAAATATTTGTCCTAAATATTGTAACAGTTTGCAAGTATCTAGGCAACTTTCTAAGGTTTCAGGAGACTCCATTCAGTCAGCTGCTCAGCATTTTTTGAAATTTGTAAAGTTGGTCATCAAGAAACTTTCATTCTCAACATTACATTTATTAAAAGTTATATTAGCTCAAATCTAAGGATAGGAAAATAATTGACAAAGTAAGCAACAAGAGTAACAGTGAAGTCTGAGCGTAAAAAGTAGTAAGGGGAGAGAAGAGTTAGCCATAAATCCTAGAGAAGGAGTGGTCTTGAAAACCAAGAAAGAGGAATTGTGGGGTGTGCCTCAGCAGCTGAGACAGGGAGTGATTCAGGAAACCAGAAACAATTCTCAAGAGGACCGTGAGAGTTCCCTGTTAGCAAAAGGGAATCAAGAAACCTTAACACTGGGATACCTAGAATAGAATAGACTATTTCAGTCAGAAGGGACCTACAACAATCATTTAGTCCAATTGCCTGACCATTTCAGGGCTGACCAAAAGTTAAAGCATGGCATTAAGGTCATTGGCCAAATGCCTCTTAAACACTGACAGGCTTGGGGCGTCAACCACCTCTCTAGGAAGCCTGTTTCAGTGTTTGACCTCTCTGACACAGAAGTATTTTTGCAAAAATTAAGACGTACAAGAGGATATTCATGAAGACAGGTTTGCTGAAAGGAAGAAACATGGAAGTGTGAATTTTCACACTGGGACTACTTGGATAGACTTGAGGTCCTTGACACATACACACACATCTTCACTGAGCAACAGGGCTTCCCTGCGTTCTCATGCAATATGTTTGGGCTTGTCTGATGTTTAAGTCAGGCCTGGATGCAGCCATGATTTGGCTACGGGGACTGCCCATCTGCTCAGTGGCTCACCTGCCACGTGAATGGGTCTATACCATACCAGGAAGGGTTGATGGGAGGCCACAGCCTCCATCACTGCTGAGATAAATCCACCTGATTCAATGATTGCTCTACCAAACATTTAAGTCCAACTGACCTAATGTAAGGACAGCAGAGGTGCATCTTTTACAAGAGTCCATTTCCAACTCCACCACACCCAGTAGGAGCAGGAAGGAAAAGCCTGCCTTTCTTGTAGCACTCCACACAAGCTGTCATCTTTTCATCCTCTTCTCATCACGGGAGTGGCTTGGCTGCTAGTTCTATCTTTTCATTCAAAAAATTCAATTTAACCTCTGTTGCTAAGTCATGTGGTGGATCTGCAGGCATCACTTCATCCTGCCTTGAGAGTTTGTGGATTGCCTGTATTCTGATGCATAGATTTTATGAAGTATTCATTAGTGTATGTACCTGGTGAGCACACAGTCTGAAAAGCATATTGAGCTAGGAAGTAACACCTGTGGCTGTTGGTTATCTGAAATGTTTCCAATTAAATGTTGAAATGTTTAATTTAACTTGTGAATTACTGTATGTAACTCAAAAACAAAAAAAATCTTTTTTCCAGTATATGCTTCTGGTGAAATATGGAGGCAAAAGAGTAATATCCTTTCTCCTTGTCTGTGTCAAATCCTTAATTCTGTCATATGTCCTTAACGCAGACTAAGAAAGTAGGGCAGGTGTAATCAGGCCTAAGCTATGCATTTCCTGGTGCAGGTGTCATGAATAGTGTGCCAGCTGTGGCTATCTAAAAAAGCTGGATGAACTGCCTATGGAGACAGAATGGAGAAAAGTGACATAAATTTGCCTCATCTATCCCCTCTTTCAAAAAAATGCCAAGCACTCAATAAATTGAACACTTGACAGTGGCTGGGGGGGAGAAGCATCATGCAAAGCTAGGGAAAAAAAAAAGTTTAGGAGGAACAGGGAACATAAGAAATGATAAAATCTTTATAGGCATATTTTCTCATTGTTATATTAATTCTATGAAAAATTACGTAAAATCGCTTTAATATAATTCATATTGATAAAAGTAGTGCACCAACAGAATCAGTGAGACTATTCAGTGGCTGGGGGGGAGAAGCATCATGCAAAGCTAGGGAAAAAAAAAAGTTTAGGAGGAACAGGGAACATAAGAAATGATAAAATCTTTATAGGCATATTTTCTCATTGTTATATTAATTCTATGAAAAATTACGTAAAATCGCTTTAATATAATTCATATTGATAAAAGTAGTGCACCAACAGAATCAGTGAGACTATTAGTTTTATCATGTTAATTTAAAAAAAAAAAAAAAACCAAACAAAAAACTGTCTGATTACTCTTCCCATTTTGCATGAATAAATATGATAAATAAGAATGTCATTAGTAAGAAACTGACTCCGGGTAATGACTCAAAGGCCAACTCTATATGTATTTAGTCTAATAACAGCGGAACCTCTTGAAATTCTAGATTATTGTGTTAAGAAAACATGTTCTATTTTTGAAGTATGTCTTTTTTGCTAGAAATTTTATACTATCCTCAAGCTAGAAACCTTTGACAACGTTCAATTCAGTTGAAGGTGATCTTAAACACTTCACAAGGGATAAATGTTAATATTCAAATTCTCATCTTCAATATTTATATCTAAATTACAGGTTCCATTCTTCCACCTTGCAGGATCACAGGTGTAGGAATTTATCTTGAGGAGAAAGTGAATTTCTCAGAAGCAAGTAATGCATGTAATCAACTGAATCTACAATTGGCAAGTAAAGACCAAGTTGAAAAGGCTTTGAAACATGGCTTTGAAACATGCAGGTATGACACCAGTTCATGTCTCATTACCTTTAGCTAATGCCTTTACACACATCTGAGGCTGGTGATAAATCTAATATTAAAAGGACTGATGCTTTTTGTTGTAGCTATGGATGGGTGAACGACGGAGTGGTTGTTGTTCCTCGGATTACATCCAATGAGAAATGTGGTAGGGGCAAAGTTGGACTAGTGCAATGGCATGCTGATCTCTTTAAAACATTTAATGTTTACTGCTTCAATTCCTCAGGTATGTAAGCATGACAACTACATTTTTTTTGTGTTTTGGTTTAGTTTTCATTATTTTCTTTAATACCTGAATGAAGAAATCATAACAAGTGAGTGAGTTCTTATAATTTGTTGGCCCCTTCCCCTCCAATCTTAGATGTTGTGAAGCTGTACTTTGCTCTGTAGGGGAAAAAATCTTCAAAGAAATACAAAAGGTCAATTCAGTTTTCAGAATTAATATTTTGGTGCTGACATGAAAGCTCTTGAAGAGTTGCTTTTACCATTCTGTAATGTTGACACAATGCTCTTAATATGTTTTGATTATTTAGGCATGTTAATTTAAAAGTCAGTGAATCAAATCTTTAAGGTGTCTGGTGAGTATTTTCTTGCAAAAAGACCAAGAACGTGATACTTCAGGAAAAGTTGAATGGTTTTTAATTAAAAGGAAATGTATCCATTAAACTAAATTAAAATATAAGCTAGGACAGCTGAGAGACCATAAAATTAACTAGATTCCAAATCAGTAAAATCGAACAGCTTCCTTTAAAGTGCATCATCCTATGTGTGAAAAGACCTGTCCTTCCTCTCATTCTTGACTGTCTTATTTCCAGATTGAAAATTCAGAAGAAGAACTTGGGCCTTGATATAAGTTAGATCTTCTCAGCACAATAGATCAGTATTGTTTCTTAATGACTTCTGTGGTATTAACAAAAATAAGTGTTTAACCATATCTATGGATATTACATAACAACTGTCCCAATTAGTAGATCATATACAGGATCACTAAGTTATTTCTAATCAGTTCCTAGACCTTGCCAATGAGTTTTAGATAACAAGAGCAAAAGATTATGTACAAAATCCTGAAACTTTTCAGGAAAGGTGTGTGAACAAAGTTTGGAAAGTGCAGGAGAAAGATGGATATGCAAGATGTGTCCATGCAAATGTATAAAGACCTTAAGACCATGTCTGCTGACTGTGAACATTGGAGCTTACAAAGAGAATGAGGATACAGCTGTCAGGAAGAAGGCCATGCCTCCACCAGTGGGACTTTGCTCATGATCCTGGGCCATTTTAGTGAAGGAGGGTAGGTAACATAAGTAGTTGGCTTACAAAGTATCTGACTGCTGATAAGAAAGCGCTGCAGAGAAAAAGCACCATTAAAAATTGACTTACTACCTAACCTGTAAAGTTGAAAATTACATGATTTGACTAACTTAGTTTTTCTCTACAGTCCATAGCTTTTGTTGACAAATGCACAGGTGAGTTAGTACTGTGGCAACATCCTCTAAAAGAAGCTGCTCCTATTGCTACTGTTATTTCTTCTGTTCCTGTGCAACATGGTGTTTCAGTGCATGAAATATGTGTTGCTCTGCGTCAGAAATGTTGGGTAGGTTGGGTAATGCTAAGCAGGTAGCAAGTAATTCCAAATTACTTGCTTTGTTTAGCTTTAAATAAAAAAAATAAAATAAATTAAAAAAAAAAAACAAACCAACAACCTGTTACAGTATCTGAAGAAAGTTAAGCTTGCTGAATGGTTAGAAAATAACAATGTATGTTTAATATTGGGATGATTCTGCATTTCTCTTTTGCCTATTCTAGGCATTTCTTACCCAAAATATTTGGCAGAAGCTCATTCTGTCAGTTTTATTTGTGCCAAAGAAATGCCAAAATTGCTTAAAAACTGTGGTGGAAAAAGTAAAAAGCCCTTGCCATTTAGCTTTTTATTCTGTGAATGTAAATGCATCATCAGACTTCCCATGGGGATTCATTTGGGGAACAGTACATACGTCGTTTCCCTGGTTTTTATGTTGTAATCTGCTTGTTACCTTAGTGAATTTGTTATAGCTTTGCAGAATATAGAACTTCATTAGAAAAGAAGAATTTTCAAATTTTCACATAAGCCTGATTCAGAACTCAGCTTTTCCATTTACATGTAGACATCCACTTGCATCCACGTTTTTGTATAGACAACATTCACATCATTTGAATGACTTAATTTCTGAGTGTGCCTTGAGTTTGTTTCTTTCTAGCCCCGTTAGAATCATGTCACTTTTTGTCTCACACTAGTGCCTGGTTTACCTGAACGTTTTACAAGCTACTTTTGTTTCCAGGAAATCAAAGTAGTGTGCCAAGTATCAACAGTGCGTGCATATGTTTTGAACGTATACATAATATAATAGAAATATTTTTGAATCTGGGTTCTACAGTTAAGTCTCCTGCTCTGCAGGAGGTCATATTATTGTTTTTTATATGCATTATTATTCTAAGTACATTTCAGGAGGAATGTTGTCCTTGCTATGCAATTATAAAATAAGTATCTGTGGTGGGTTGACCCTGGCTGGATGCCAGGTGCCCACCAAAGCTGCTCTATCACTCTCCCTCCTCAGCTAGATAGGGTAGAGAAAATATAACGACAGGTTCATGGGTTGATATAAGGATAGGGAGATCACTCAGCAATTACTGTCATGGGCAAAACAGACTCAACTTGGGGAAAATGTAGTTTACCACAAATCAAATCAGAGAAGAATAATGAGAAATAAAACCAAATCGTAAAACATCTTCTCCCCACCCCTCGCTTCTTCCCAGGCTTAACTTTATTCCTGATTTCTCTACCTCCTCCCCCCAAGTGGCGCAGGGGGACAGGGAATGGAGCTTGTGGTCAGTTCATCACACGTTGTCTCTGCCGCTCCTTCCTCCTCTGGGGGAGGACTCCTCACACTCTTCCCCTGCTCCAGTGTGGTGTCCTCCGTGACTTCTCTGACATGAGTACTTCCCACTGGGAAGGGCTACCATTCTTCATTAACTGCTCCAGTGTGGGTCCCCCATGGGGTCACAAGTCCTGCCAGCAAACCTGCTCCAGCACAGGTTCCTTTCTCCATGGGGTCACAGGTCCTGTCAGGAGCCTGTTCCAGCATGAGCTTCCCACAGGGTCACAGCCTCCTTTGGGCATCTACCTGCTCCAACATGGGGTCCTCCTTGGGCTGCAGATGGATATCTGCTCCACCATGGACCTACATGGGCTGGAGGGGGACAGCCTGCCTCACCATGGTCTTCAACACGGGCTGCAGGGGCATCTCTGCTCCGGTGCCTGGAGTACCTCCTCCCCCGCCTTCTTCACTGACCTTGGTGTCTGCAGAGTTGTTTCTCTCACACATTCTCACTCCTCTCTCCCACTGCAATTGCTTCTGCGCAGTAACCTTTTTCCCTTTCTTAAATACCTTATCACAGAGGCACTACCACCATCACTGAAGGGCTCAGCCTTGCCTAGCGGTGGGTCCATCTTGGAGCTGGCTGGTATTGGCTGCGTCAGACATAGGGGAAACTTCTAGCAGCTTCTCACAGAAGCCACCCCTATAACCCCCCCCACTACCAAAACCTTGCCACGCAAACCCATTACAGCACCACAATTGCTTAAGAAGTGTTTAACTAGGTCAGTAACAATAGAAGGTACGTAATCTGGGTTATAGCCACATGTTTGAAATAAGCATGCCTGATTTGGGTAAGGCTTTTGTGAATAAACAAATAATAATTCCCAGAAGGGAATGACTGAGGAACAATTTCAATAAATGTGTGTGTACAGTAAGTACAAAACTAACATGCAACACAATTCATGTATTTCCTTTCCCTGCTGCAGATGTTCAGATTAATTCATGTAAACCAGATCCAACTACAACGAAACTACCTTCATCAAGTGCACCAACGGACTTAACTGCATATTCAGGCTCTGATTTGACTGAGAACATCACAGCAGTACCCAGTGTGACTGAGTCACAACAATCCCTGAAAAAGAGAAAATTTCGCGTAATATGTGTAACTGAAACTGTATTACCAACAGAGGGGATTACTACAAAAATACCAGAGGAATACTTACCAAGTGACTCTCCTAACTACACTTCCCATGCTGCCTTTAAGAATGATGCTGTTATCTTTGGAGGTAAAGGCCATATATGGTATATTAATCAGAAGAGCTAGTTACATAGATGTTAGTAGTAAAACTGTTAACTGCTATTTTTGTTTGCTACTCCAGCATCCCTTTTGATATAGCTGAGCCTGGAGGCAGAATAGGAGTGTTACAGATTTGCGAAAGCAAAACTTATAAGGCAGAGGATTTTAAAATAATTTTAAACTCGAACTAAGATCTTATTTTATAATTTTTGATAAAGTTTTAATATAAAATGGTGGAAGTTCATTCTGGTTAATGTGATTTGGGGTAAATATACTTATGAGAAAGTCTTGGCAAACACCATGTGCTCAGGGTAATGGAAAACTCAGCAGGCTCCTAAAAACCAAAGAAGCCAAGAAAGTTTAAGGAGAATTGTTGTTCTTCAAACAGTGAGGTGTTCTCAAGCTATGAGGTGTGAATAACTAATCCTCATACACAGCAATTGATAAAGAGACTAAATATGAGGCATTCTAGGTGTAAGGATAGTGAATTACAAAAATGTGTTCTCTAGGCAAGTTGTAAAGACTGAGCAGATTAGACAAACATCTGTCAGGGATTGCCTAAATACCTGTTCTAGTCTCTCTTGAAAAAATGAGCAGGAGTAACTAACCTCTTGAGATTCTTAATACCTCTATTCTTGAGTTGATGTGTATGCACCTCTTACGCTAGTCTGTTTTTAGCAGAATCTGGATTTATGCTCATGAGCCTTTAGAAAGTTGGAATTAAGTACATACAAAAACTCTATGCTTACCTCACTTTTATCTCTAGGTATCCCCACTGCACTTCTTGTACTGGCAGTCATCTTCTTCATTATTTCAGTTGTTCTAGCAGTCTGCTATATTAAAAAGTAAGTTTTTTCTTTTTTATTTTTCTCTTGGACTGAGTTAACTATTAAAGTACAACCAGTGAATATTTTAAATTATAGCTAAAGAGCAGAGAAGCAATGATAATGACATAACAGTGCAGCACAGAGAACAAATTCTTAAGCACCGCTGTTATGCAGATAAAGTTTGCTGTTGCCATTAGCCCCTTTCGAAAAGGAACAAAATACAAACATTGCCTATTTTTGATTAGTCAGTCGTGCCTAGTGTGAAACACTTCCAAGTGTGCCAAAATAGCAACACTGAAGTGTGCATCTGTTGGTATATAAGCCTGTTTATGCAGTTTTAGTCTTGTTTCTATGTCAGACTCAAGGTAAAAGTTTTCATTCTTGGACTATGATTGTGTTCAGAAAAAAATAGTTGAGCTCATTTGTCATGTGTAAAGACCTTCAACACAGTGCATCATTAAATTGTATCACACAGTTGTGTGCATTTCTAACATCCTGGCCCAGATAGCTTTATCATTAAGCACCATGAATCCTGAATATACATTGTCTGTTTTTAAAAAAAACCTAAAATATTTCTTCTAAAAGCACACTGCTTGAAAAAGCACAGCGATCTAGCATGCCACTGTTCTCTGGGAGACTTTTGCTTGAATATGGCAAAGGAAGTTAATTCTAGGTTCTTTTCACTCCATTTCTTGAGTGGTACTACTGAACTACGTCAGTGTTTCTGCTTTACTATCCTTTTTTCTATTTAAAGGTACAAGAAAACCTTCCCATTTTCAAACAAGAATCAGCAAAAAGAAATGGTCGAAACTACAGCTCTCAAAGAGGCCAAGTCAAATGACAAAACACCTGAGAAGGAAACAAATAATGGAAAAAAGGTAGAAGAGTGTAAAACCAAGCCTGAGGCCACAGTAAAATGTCTGGAAGCAGAAGTTTAAGGGGAAGAATGTACACTGCTTCATAGAAGTAGAAAACGAAGCACACAGAACTTAGCAATGCTTTTAAACATGGGTGACTGTAAATACTCATGAGTGAATATTTTCTCTGTCTTAACATGTGAAAACTTGGTTTTTTAATAATTACATCTTTAGCTACAAATGCTCTTGCAGAAGAACATGGTATCTTATTTACTTGAAATTAAAAAAAAATCCATATTACAGCTCATTTTTCATCTTTAATAAAGAAGTAATCAGGACTATGCTTTTAACAACATGCAATGTATTAACTATTTGTGCAGAATTCAGATCAATATATAATGAAAAGGGGTTTTTTATATGGGTGGAGGATGTCTGCTAACTTAATGTCTAAAACAAGATTATGATACTGTAGCTCTTCCTCATGTAGATAAGCTTATTTCCGTTAAGTAGTTACATACTGATTTTAAAAAGTCTGTTTACAAACGCAAGAAATAAGTCTGTTTTCAAGTGAGTACAAAACCAAAGGATCAACCCACTGTCATTCAAATATTTGAGGAAGGGTACAAAGATGCTGATGTTTTTATATATATATATACAGCAATTAATAACTTTCTTAGATATCTTCATCATATCATAATTTGTAGTTTTATTTATTAAAACGTGTATCATTCTTCTGCATTAGCTATTTGACAGGGAAAAAAACCACATTGAACTGTATATTTAAGATATTTTGTGTATCTTCAAGTGTGGCTTTCATGATAAAGAACTTGAGTGGTATGGGACATTTACAGTGCTTCATAAAATATAAAGTATGGTAGATACGTTTGTGTGGACAACTTATTCTCATGAAATTGTCTCACAATAAAAAGACCTCATATAACCTTACTGTTACAGAAGTAATTAGTTGCTATAAAAGAACACCACTAGCAATTTATCAAATATTTTCTTGAATAAATGGTTTGAGTACCTTATTTTTGTATGTGAAGGAGGTTATTATAGTAAAGGAAGTTTCTTTTTAGATCAAGCAGTTTGAAAAACATAGTCTTAAATAAAACAGCAGTAGAACTGCTCACCTATATTGTTTTCTACAGTGTAGGATTCTGGGTTATGAACTTCCGTATTTTTGATTCACAGAAATTTAAAAATTGCCTAGTGGTTATATATTCCACTAGACAGTGAGACAGTGTTTTGCTACTAGCATACTTAGAGATTTCCTGTGTTGTTTTTTTGTTTTCTCTCTCTCTTTTCTTTTTTTTTTTTTTTTTTTTTGATAGCTCAGAATTACTTCATGGCTCAGAGAGTCTGGACTGTGTTGATAGGCAGTCTACCACTGCCATTAAAGCTACATTGCTGCAGAAAGACTGATTCAGTACAGCTCTAAAAACTGCTCATTTCAGCTGTCCATCAACAGAATTTCAGAATAATGTGCAACAGAGGAAAGCACTAGATACAGCCTTCCTACTCAGTTAAGTAATGCCTCTCTTTGCAAAACACTGCAGTAATGCGATCCATCTTTCCCGGCACCCGGAATGAAAGCACTCTATGCCGTGTCAGCAATGAGAGTAGGCAGCGGAAATAAGGCCATCGGGAAGGGACAGAGCCAATACTTGCCATGACGTTGTCAGAATAGCAAAGGGGCTTAAGGACACAGGCAGTGCTAGTGGATTCCAGGTAATTGTGGACTTTCTTGTGACATATTACAATTTCCCTTCCGCCTCTCTTTTCCATGTTTTAGACACTAGAAATTACCTATTTCTCTATTCTTTTTGTCAGCACCACGAGATAATTATCACTTCTCTTACTCTCCTACTACTATTGCCCCTACTCCACAGGTATGAACTTCCTTTTCTCACAGATTGTCTCATTCACACCTAAAGAAATTTGGAAAATTGTTCTCTGGCTCCACTCTGGCTGGAAGTTTGTTGCTCCTGTTTTAGACCTAAATGAGTGGGTTTTTCCCCTGAAGTGTTTGCTTTCTAAAAAACCTATACTAGCTGAGAGAGTATGCTATAAACATCGTTTTATTTATCATGTACCTTAAAAACTTGGATAGCTTCATCCTGACCTTCACACTGACACCTGTCCAATGCATGTAGTTTGATCTGTCCCTTCTCTCCATTACACAATTTATGCCAACACTACAAAAGCTAAAATAAACCTGTTACACTGTTCTGTATGCAATAAGTAATACAGTAAGTACTAATCCACAAGTACTGTATTTGATATTGTCTGTATATGATGAGTACTCCTCAGTCACATTTGAACAAGAAAGTACAAAATGTTCTTGCTTATTGTTTAATTGCAAGGGATGTACCACTACAAAGCAAACAGGAAGTATTTATTTAAGTTCTAGACAGAAAGTGGCCCTTAACTGGTGGTAGCAGAAACTTAAGATACATTCTTCATTATGTTTCTGACTTTTCTCAAGTGTCATGCCTTTTTTTTTTTTTTTTTACGAGACATTCTCAACAGCTATGAAGTTCCTTCATGTCTCAGAAAGTGCATTATGCTCAAGTATCTTGAACAAATAATTCATTCCACCTGGCAAGAGATCCCAGTTGGTATCAGTCATTTGACAGTGACACTGCTCAATTCCCACACTGAGGCTACAGATGTTTGCTGACCTTAGGCAAAAGGGGTGGTTGGCCTGCAGGAAATACAGCAAGGTTCCCAGTCCAGCCCAGTCCCTGTCTGGAATACAGGGGTGCCTTGATCGTGGGAAGTACATGTGTCTATGTGTGAACAGAAGCAGGCAGGAAGGGGAAGTACTACTCCTTTTCTCCTACTTAAATTTAAAAAACAAAACAACAAAACACACACAAAATTCAAAAATTAAACCTTCACGCGTCAGGATGCAGATGCCCTAGAGGATGTTCTAGGACTTCTGTTCCTAAAGGGCTTGTTATCATTTATGAGTGTTGGTGTTTTTTGTAAAAAGGACCTTTGCACCCACATCCTATGTCCTCCACGCCGACCAGGGTGCTCGCTGCCGCCCGCCCCGGCTGTCACGGCAGGGTGGGGGGTGTTCTGCACCGGC